TTCTGCAAAGATGTGAGCATGACGAATTTCCGCTGACTGATACAGGCCGAATGTATATGAATTTTATTATTTTCCATGTGCAACTAAGACAATTATGATATTCACACTGCGTATTGTAACTAAACATATCCAGAAGCCAGTGGATTATTTTGCGCTCACAATAGATGATATATCATCGGTCTCTTTTTTCTTAACAGAAATGAAAAATGGATGTACCCTTTTGTGGTTGTAGATTTCTCCTCATTATACAATGAGCCACAGTGTGTGGAAGGCATGTTTTACTCTCATAGGCGCATTGCTCGTTAGAGGTCATGCATACAATAGGCCCAAGGCGGCTGAAACGCCAGGCAGCAGTGCGGGGAACAAGTGATTGTTTAACATCGATGCGGAAGCATCTTGGTCGCCCTGTAACTGACTTTCAGGACGTTTTGGCTATTCTGCTTGGTGATGCACCCGCATAGCTCCCGATACAAGGCCCGATAATTACCACAACATGACGGCGATGAATATTGTGATGTTTATTAGCCTAAGGCCTATACTAAGAAATAATGATATACTTATGTTATGTTAAATCTAATTCTAAATCATGCTCATGTAGATTCCAGCAAAAGCAAGGGACCCCATATGTAAATAAGTTGTGCTACAGTCATGCTTTTTCGTGTAATATATCGCTGTGTAATTATCACTTTTAATGAATTCCGAATTCTTTATTGTAAAAGTAATGCAATGTATAGATAGTAAAGCCATATACATATAATATATGATGGATAATTGCCTAAATAAATAAATAAAAAATAAAAAGTATACAGTATTGTAAATTAAACTATGAGTATGATGGTATACGTGTACGACAATGTTTAGCAACAAATAAAACTAAACTAAAGCCAAACTAAAAGTATAGACTGCTTAATGCGTGATACGGAAAACTCACCTTTATGTCCCCTGGAAAGTGCACGCGTCGGGGGTACGCACTTACGAGTACTGACGTACACGTGCCACGCTACACAAGATGGTGTGAAATAAAACCCGGACCCGGGACCCGACAGCCGGAAAACCTGCATAAAACCCGGAACTGCATGACCTCGTGTCCGGGGCCCCGGGTTTTATTCCATCGTCCGGAGTCGAGCTCCCTCCTTAATCAATAATACATAATATAATAATAATAATAATAAAACTAAGGTACACAAATACGGGAGCCAATGTTTACATGCTGCCACCGCGCCATCCTTGGATGTTTTAATAAGTAAATATGGGATTTTCAATAAAAATAATGGCGCTTTAAAATGTATTTACCACGAATGTATACGTGATAGAAAACTATATGTTATGTTTTACTGATTTCTCGCCGCAATCTTTCTCTTAAATTCTGTCCTTGTCTTTGAAGCCTTCGTAGATTTTTCTTGCGTTTCGCTGCCTGGCTTTTGTAATTTACCATAGTGCTGTTAAACACTAAAAGGTCACTAACCACGCTAAATGCAACGCACATACACACAACGCACAACACAGCACAGCGACAACACACCGCGCGCAACCATTAGCGGATTAAGGCGGGGCAAACAGGGGCACGTGCCCTCGGGCCCCCCACATTTGGGGCCCCCACAATTTAGAGTATCCTAAAAATTTACAAAACTGCGTAATTGTGATCCACTAAATATCTTAAGCATGTAACGTTTAAAGTGGAATGCGTTCCCATGCTGTTTCTCGATTGACTGAATTTTGCTGTTCAGCTGAAGGACACTTTCCCTAATACGGCGAAATTGCTCTGAGAATCTATCTCTCATTGATGGTCTCGATTGTAGCCGGTGAAAGGTCATTTGTTTTAAACTCAAGTTGATTAAAAATCACATGAGAAACCACGATGAAGCAGACTAAGAGACTGTAAACGCTCAGTATTTCTCGCTATCGAAAGTGACATTTTAAATTCGTGAAAACATCGATAAAATACCTGCTGAATTTGCAAAGCATGAAAGTGCAGAAAAAATAACAGACTATAGGGGCCGCCACACAATTGCGTGCCCCGGGCCTCCCCACATCGCATTAGTCCGGCCCTGCACGCGCGCAACGACGCACACAGAAACGCAACGCGCCCATCACACCACGCACGCGCGCCAAAACCACGCCAGGGGCCACACACCACGGGCGCACACACGCCGCACGCGTCACAAAAACACAGCGCACACAAACCAGGCGCATTAACGCCGTGCGCACGCACGCACGCGCATACACATCCACACTAGACACATAGCACACGCAGCGTAAACGAAACACATGCCGCACAACAGAGACACCGCACACACAACCACGTAAAAACGCCACTGCGCACGCACGTGCAGAGTCGCCTGCATCTACGCCGCACACGCGACGACAGACACTAGCACAGACACACACACACAACCACAGCAAAAACGCAACAAGTCAACGCCCGACGAGATTACACACAACATACTAGCACGCACCGACTCCCCCACCCCACCAATACACCCGACACAACGCACGCAAAAACGCATACCCGCACGTGCGCGACGCACGCGGCCGTCACACCACTACAACAACACGCACGTACGCGCAACAGACACAACCACACCGCGCGCCACACAGACGCCACGTACTTGCACGCAAACAAGCACGCAGCACACAACAAGAGCACACACATCACACAGCACACACACAACACACACACTACACGCACACAACACACAGGCCAGACACACACGCTACACACCACTCAACCCACCACCGCACAACACAGACGCAGCTACACTAACATCAGCACACATCACAACAAAACTACATACACACGCACGCAGCGTGGGTACGGACTGATGCAGAATGAGTCCGGAATGGTAATGCTTGACCCACTTTCTTATCGGAGGGATGTCAGCCCGCATGCACGCTTCTTGAATGCCAACTAAAAGTGTGAGCGTGAGTGTTATCAATTTTCATTTTGAGTGATATATTTTTTTGGCCCCGCGACCGAGTGGCTCCGTGTGCACTGCTACTTGACTACGTGGACACTATGTGATCATCCAGGCGCGCTCCATGCTGAGAGCCACGCAATCATGTATCATGTCTCTCAGGATTTCAAAGTGACCATTCGAAATTTACCGAGAAATATACAAAAAATACAGAAATCAATTTTGATGGAATTTGTGGCTAATATTCTTTATTTGTTTTCTTTTTCTTCTGAATCATTGACAGGACTTGAAGGAAATCGAATTTTACATGGTAACAAAACTAGCTTTTATTCTGAAAAAGAAAGTGCTTTGAATCATCTGCTGCATTAATGCTGGTATGCAAGCGCAGCAAAATGAAGGGAAATAAAATTCCAATGGTTTTTAGCTATTGCTGCTTGGACTGAATGTGTGCTCAAATGTGTGCTCAATTTTTTGTGCGCCAGGGACCCTTGAATTTGAAATTCTCTGGGGAGGCCCCCCAGACCGCCCTCCCGCCATGTGCTTCGCGCCTGGCGGAGCGAATCCACCGTGGGTGGTGTGCGCGCCTTTGGGGAAGGAATGTGCCCTTAAAATCTGAAAAAATACTGTCTAGCCTGCAGCCACTGGATCCGCCCTTGGAACTGATTCGCATTTAGTAGAGCACGGCCTATGGGCCTATATCCGACGTTGTCTCGGAGCTCCCGAACGCGTGCACTGCTGTCCAGGAGAGTGAGTTTACCGTATCCACGCATGTAAGTAGTCTATATACTTAGTTTGGTTTAGTTTAGTTTTGATTGTTGTACACATTTTCCGTACACGTATTATACATCATAGTTTAATTTACAATACAACAGATTTAGATCAGGCGCGTAAGCTTAAGGATTTTAATTTTGGAGGGGGGCGCAATGAGCTACGTGAAGTGGTGAGAAATCAGGGCGTAAAATCCGTACCGAGGAGTGGGGGGGATGATCGGCG